CCTGAACTACATTTTGGAAGGGGGGCAGACCTTGGAAATGCCTGAGAAGGAATTCAAAAAGATGATTTTAAAATGTTTCAAAACACTTTACAGTGGAGTTGAGAAAAATAAGGAAGAAGTAAGGAAAGTGCTACAGGAACAATCAAATAAGATAGATAACAGCATTGGAAACAATTCAAAACCTACAGAAAGAGGTCCAAACAATCAATAATAGAATATCAGAAGTAGACAACACACTGAAAGGGCAAAGGAGTAGAAAAAAAGAGATGGAAGGCAGAACTAGTGAGCTGTAAGACATATCTCTAAATACCACTAAGATAGAAGAGCAAACAGAAAAAAGGATTAAAAAGTCTGAAGAAGGTTTAAGATTCATGTTGGACAACATGAAGAGGAATAACTTAAAAGAGCTGAATTTCAAAGGTCAGCTTGAGAAGACAAAGTCAAGTATTATAATGAAATGTGCAAAGACCTGGCCTTAGAAAAACAAAAGGGAAATACATGCTCAGCATTTCTCAAACTGAAAGAACTGCAGAAAAAATACAAGCCTTGACTTGCAGTATTGAAAGATTCCATTGACAAAATATCGAATCGTTCAGAAATCATCAAAAGAAAATGGAAGCAATCCAGAGTTAGTGTACCAGAAAGAAATGTTCAATGCTTAACCATTTCAAAAGATGTAACCAAGAGCCAGTGGTACCCAGGAAGAAGTCCAAGGTGCACTAAAGGATTAGCAAAGAACAAGAATACTGGAATTGATGGAATGGAAATTGAATTCTTTCAACAAACTGATGCAGCACTGGAGTCACTCACACATCTATGCCAAGAAATTTGGAAGATGGTTACCTGGCAACTGATTGGAAAAGATCTATATTAGTGCCCATTCCAGAGAGATAACCACAGAGAATGTGGATATCATGGGACAATATCATTAATACTGCATGCAAGTAAAATTTTTCTAAAAATAATTCAAAAATGGCTGCAACAGTACATTGACAGGGAATTGCTAGAAGTTCATGCTGCCAGAGGTTCAAGCTGGAGTCAGAAGAGGATGTGGAACAAGGGATATCATTGCTGACATCAAATGGATCTTGGCTGAAAGCAGAGAATACCAGAAAGATATTTACTTGTTCTTTATTGACTATGCAAAGAATTTTGACTCAGTGGATCATGACAAGGTATGGGCCACATTGCAGAGTATGAGTATTCCAGAACGCTTAACTGTACTCATGAGTAACTTGTACATAGACCAAGAGGCAGTCTATGTACAAAGGAACACTGAATGATATTTAAAAAGGAAAGGTGTGTGCCAGGTTTGTGTTCTTTCACCATGCTTATTCAGTCTGTATGCTGAGCAAATAATTTGAGAAGCTAGATTATAAGAGGAAGAATGTGTAAAAAGAAGAAGAAGGTTGGAGATCTCTCACTCCCCGATTTCAAACTTTACTACATGGCTACAGTGGTCAAAACAGCCTGGTACTGATACAATGAAAGATATATTGATCAATGGAACAGAATTGAGACTCCAGAAGTTAACCCAACCACATAGAGCAAAATGATTTTTGACAAAGTGCCTAGGCATATTGCATGGGGAGGAGACAGTCTCTTTAACAAATGGTGCTGAAAAGTACACAAACAAAAATAGACAAAATAGATGAGTGGGACATACTAAAAATTAAAAACTTGTGTGTTTCAAAAGACTTCACCAAAAGATTAAAAAAGGAACCCACAGAAGGGAAAAAAATATTTTTCAATGACACATCAGATAAGGGATTCATTTCTAAAATATATAGGAAACTATAACACCTCTACAAGAAAAAAACAAATAACCCAATTAAAAAATGGGCACAGGACATTAACAGACACTTCACCAAGGAGGAGATCCAGGCAGCCAACAAACATATAAAGAAATGTTCACGATCACTAGCCATCAGAGAGATGCAAATCAAAACAACAATGAGATATCATCTCACACCAGCAATAACAGCAAAGATCAAAAAAGCAGAGGACAACAAATGCTGGTGAGGATGCGGAAAGATTGGGACCTTCCTACATTGTTGGTGGGAATGCAAAATAGTCCAGCCACTCTGGAAAGCAATACAGTGCTTCCTCAGAAGGTTCAAAATAGAAATATTGCATGACCCAGCAATGCCTCTACTTGGTATCTACCCACAAGAAATACAAGTCATAACACAAGTAGATATATGCACACCAGTATTTATAGTAGCACTATTTACAATAGCAAAAAAATGGAGATAGACAAAATGCCTATCAATTGAAGAGTGGATAAACAAACTGTATTACATACACACAATGGAATACTACGCTACCTTAAGAACAACAAGGAAGCTGCAAGCCATCGCATAACATGGATGAACCTTGAGAACATTATACTGAGAGAAATTAGTCAAAAAAGGAGAAATACTGCATAAGACCATTATTGTAAAAGACTAAGAAAAAGAGCCCACTCAAAATGGAGGGGGAAAAAATCTAAAAGAAGAAGAATGTGGCATCAGGATTGAAAGAAGACCCATTAACAACCTGCGATATGCAGATGATACAACCTTGCTTGCTGAAAATGAAGAGGACTTAAAATACTTACTGATGAAGATCAAAGACCACACAGGTATGGTTGCACCTCAGTGCAAGCAACAATCCTCACAACTGGACCAATAAATAGTATAATGAAAAATGGAGAAATGATTGTAGCCTGTCGGCAAGGATATAACCACGGAGGACTAGAGCTGAGAGTGAGGTGTCAAGCTGCTAGGAAGTGAGGGGAGATGCACAAGAGCAGCCAAACTTGTAGATAGTACCAATTCACCCTAGCTTCAATGGCTTGATGATCAGAACTCAGCTAGAGGAAGATTTTTTAAATAAAAAAATTTTGATAAAGGAAAAAAGTATAAATTGCTACAATTTAATGAACTTGACCTATACTTATAGATGAAGTAGCTCAAAATACCAACTGAGAAGGAAGGAGTCTTCACATCAAGGATCAATCCTATCCCTTCTGTATACAAGCAACTTAGACATTGGTAACCTAAAATTGGGAGACTATGCCAGAGTGCTCCTTGGAGGCCAAGATGGCCAAACTTCTTCTCTCATACTTCAGACATATTGTCAGGAGGGACCAGTTGCTGAAGAAGGATATCATGTTTGGTAAGGTGGAGGGTCAGAGAAAAAGAGGAAGACCCACAATGAGATGGATTGGCCAAGTGGCAGGCAGCATCGATGGACTCAAGCGTGACAACAGTAGTGAGATTGGCCCAGGATCAGGCAGTGTTTCGTTCTGCTGTGCATAAGGTCGATATGAGTCAGTATGCACCTAACAACAACAACAAAAGGCACGAAGTGACTGGCTTACAAGTTTTCAAGAGGAAGTTTAGTTTCAGAGTGTACAGGTGAAGGTAGAATCCCCACTGAATAGTTTTTATCTTGTCTAGATGGGTCTGGTGAAAGAAAATGGGGATACAATTCTTATGATTCAATAGTGAGTAATTGTTATCGTGATGAACTGCGACTGTCACAACTGTAAAGAGAGGTAGACGTTTTGTAACAAAAAGTGGAGAGTAGTTAATCTTACAGTCTATGAACAGAGGACCCTAGGACCATCAAGGGAGAAAGGAGATCATGAGTGGAATGTGGGACCGTATCAAGAGAAGCAGCTGCACCAGTGAAAACAGTTGTGCAAATGTTTGGGCTGAAGATTGTACTAGTCACTTTTTCCTTAGGTCATCACTTTTACTTGAAAGAACAATAGATCAACAAACTGGTTATTCATGCTTGAGCATTTAGCAGGTTATTCATTCCTCAAAATGAACAAAATGAACCTGTTACTTTAAGGGGGGGGCGGGGGGGGGGATTGACAGTATTTCTTGACAGTGTTAAAATCGGAGCACTCAGAAAAAAAAAAAAAAGAGAATTTTAGAAAATTTATTATCTGCCCTTGTGAGCTTGACAGTTTTCCCTATACTGAAAGATTTTTCAGACAACAGTGGCAGAATTATCAAAAAATACGATATTTTATAATCATATGTTACTGTTTAAAAGATTTACATAACTATGTGAACCACTATTTTCCTTAATGACCATGCATGATACTAAAAGATCATGCACGAGTGAAAGATTCATTCAAAGTGAAAGATAAACAATAGATTTTAATAAAGTATGGAAAACATTTTGATTACAAGAGTTTAGATTCCACATTGAAAAATAAGCAAAAAGAAAAACACACAATTATCTAAAAAGGCTGTTAAAAATTCTCCCTTTTTTAACTATAAACCTTTGTGAGGCCAGATTTTCTTCATAAATTTCAATTAAAACAACATATTGGTGCAAATGAGAAGCCAGATGTCTTCTGTTAAGACAAGCATTTGCAAAATTAAGCCAGACGTTTTAAAATGTAAAACTATGCCATATTCTTCACTGTTTTTTTTGCTTTGGAAAATATTTTTTTATTTTTATTAAAAACAGATTATTTAATAAAATGTAAGTGTTTATTACTGGTATTTAAAAATAAATTTGTAAATATTCATAATTTTTTCTCATATGATACGTATAACCCAAATAGATAAAAGCTTACTGGGCATTCTCAGTAATTTTTGACAATGTACAGGATTTCTGAGTCCAAAAAGCTTAAAAATACTAATGTATACCAAACACTATAGTAAATTACTCAATGACTTTTAACAGATTTTACAGCATTTTCTAAGTGAGAAATTTGAGAAGTTATATAATTATGAGGCAGGAAGAATTTTCTGACTTTTTTGTCTTTCTCTTTTTCTTCTTAAACTTAAAATGAAAAGAAGTCTTCAGCGTATGCTGGTGACATTCTCTCCATTCTTTTTTCCAAGTCTGTGAGTCTCATTTCATGTGTCCCCGTTTACAGGAATAAAATTAGCATGCTATCCAGTCACCACTTGGCTCATGACTCAGTGTCACTATAAAAATCTTTTTAGCAGCTTCGTAGGCCCAGCTTCTCCTTGGATATTTCTATGTGGAACTCTTCAGTTTGTTTGTGATAGGAGACGTAAGTACATATTGCTACTTGTCTCTTCAATCTCTCTAAATATGTAAATTCGGCTAGAGTAAAACTCAGTTTTCTTTCAAATAATTTGTGTCTATGATAGAAGAAAGCATAGGACATAAACAGGGAAAAGACCAACAGAAATCCTGAATATCAGTTTAGAAGTTCACATTATACAAGGGAAGAATTTTCATAGCAGCCATCTATTGTTTCTGATAAAGAATGACATGTGTGGCTTGTTTAAGAAGGGAAAGATGGAAGAGTAAGCTTACTTCTTATTAATAAATTTTGGTTGAATTTTCAGAGGTCAATTTTTAGAAACTTGTGGTTTAAATTTGAATCTAACATTAAACATTTTAATACTTAAATACTAAAATGTCTTTTCCCTTTCTAGTCAGCCTTTGGCTATTAGTCTAATTGTTTTGTATGACTGTATTCAAAAATATAATATATTATCTTGTTCAGATCCAATAATATCTTTGTCTCAGGCCTGTTTTATTATAATTATGTGCTGTCAAGTCAGTTCCAACTCATAGTGACCCTATATAGGGTTTCCAAAGAACGGCTGGTGGGTTTGAACTGCCGACCTGGTGGTTAGCTATCCAGTGCTTATCCTACAGTGCCACAACACGAGTCCAGACTAGAGAATACTGATTATAGCAATATGAACAAGAAACTCTACTAAAGAAATATTATGTCCACTTAAAGTAAAATTTCCAGGATTTTTGTCTGATCAGTTTCTTGTATGATCAGTTAGTCAAAAAATGTGGTAATTGCTATTCTATTAAACCTCTATCAACTACTGTCATTTATTTGACTGTTTGGGAGTTTTGTCATTTTTGTGATTATCTGTCACACATAACCATTTGAAGCAGTTTCTCCATAATTTCAAAGCAAAAACTAAAGTCATCTGTAGTGGCTTGGACTCCTGGTGTGGTGCTATATGATCAGCATGGGTTTTGAACCACAATGCTGGTAATTCCGACCCACCAGCTGCTTCTTGGAAACCCTACACAAGTTCGCTATGAGTCGGAACAGACTCAACAGCACTTAATAGCAAATGTAGGGGCATATTTGGTATGAAACGTATGTATGAGTCTTTTGTAGTCATTGAACTAAATTGAAAAGCTGTGTCTAATTGTTCAATTGCAGGAAAAAATAGTATAGCTGCCATGGATATAAAAATAAATATTTTGAGCACTTAATAGGAATTGATTAAGTGAGCTATAATAATGGGGATAGGGAAAATATATATATATAAAGTTTATAACATCTATATATTTTGCTATAAAATGTGACTGTATTCATTCCTTCATTCACATATTCAATATGAATTTATCAGTTACTTTTTTTTGTATTAAAGAGCTCTGGTAGCATAGTGGTTACGAATCGGGATGTGAACCTCAAGGTCAGCAGTTCGAAACTACCAGTTGTTCCGCGGGAGAAAGATGAGGCTTTCTGCTCCCGTAAAGGTTTACAGCCTGGGAAACCATGTACAGGGTCGCTATGAGTCGGAACCGTCTCCACGGCACATTAACAACAACAACATTCTTTATATTGGAGTCCTGGTGTGGCACTATGGGTTAATGCACCAAACTGCAAAGGCATTTGAACTGCAAGGTTGGCGGTTCAAGCTCACCAGCTGCTCCTCAGAAACTCTATACAGGGTCGCTATGGGTCAGAACCGACTCGACAGCACTTTACAACAACAACAACAACATTCTTTATATTGGAGCCCTGATGTGGCGCTGTGGACTAATGTGTCAGACTGCAAAGGCGTTTGAACTGCAAGGTCGGTGGTTCAAGCTCACCATCTGCTCCTTGGAAATCCTCTATAGGGTCGCTATGGGTCGGAATCGACTCGACAGCACTTAACAACATTTTTTATATTAGACAATAATAATAATAATATTGGTTAAATGATTGGATGGCCAGTATTTATTTTCCTTGTTACTTTACAGGTACAAAATTGGACATACACATCTATCTAGTAAAAATATTTCATAAATGTCTAAGGGAAAGGGAAGTTTATGCAAATAAGCTCTTCTCACAGTTATCATTATAGTCTTGTACTCAATCCAAGTGAAAACTATATGTAAGTATTTTAAAGGTTCAGTGACCATAATATGCATGCATATCTTCCATACCCCTTCTTCTTCTTTCATGTGCTAATTGCATAGAAGTATAACTAAAAGGGAAAGTCCAAATTTTTTATTTTCTTTTCATAAGCAGAATTGCCAAAAGGATCTTTCGACATTCAGAAATATGCAAATTATAACACAAAATTAAAACAGGCCTTCTTTTAATTCGTTTCTACTCATGGAAAATGTCACCACTTTTGTCTGCCTCATTCTTTATATTAGATGTAATTTCCCATGTGCACATACATCATTATGACAGTCAGCATATAAAAATAATAATGCCAACAAACAAGGGCCTTTATTACAAAATACAGTGCCCTTGATACAAAGCCAACAGCCCTGGGTTTAAGTCTTGATTCTGTGTATTATTTAGCAATCACTTAACATCTCGGAGATTTCTTTTCTTCATCTGAAAAATAGCCATATTTTAACCTACTACATAGTTTTGTTTTAAGGTTAAAAGTAGTAATAGTTTTTGTAAACCTATGTTTTAAGAAGCTATAAGGAGAGACTGAGAATGAAAACCAGTAGTAATAATTGTGAGAAGAGGCTATTTCTGTAATTCCACTTCTTCTTAAAATATTTATCAAATATATTTGATAGTCTGACATGAGTGTCCAATTCTAAAACTTTAGGTAAAGTAACATGTTGGTTGATAGCAGTGTAGAAGGTAATGAAAATATCTTTTTAATTAATAGCACTGAATTACTCCAAGGTCAAAGACTTATTCATGTACCGACAGCCTGGTATAGTAGACATAGTGGACCGGGACTTTACAGCCTAAGTTCCAGGCATATAATTGATTAACAATATGAATATGAGCAGGTTCTTGAACTTTCCGGTCCTCACGTTCGTTACTTGTAAAAATTTCAGGAATAACGTAGATAGCTTTCTAGGATAGGAAATTTAGAATAAGTTTCCACATTGGACAATTCTCTTCAAATAATCGAACTGCAAGGTCGGCAGTTCAAACCCATCAGCCACTCTATGGAAATACTATACAGAGTTGCTATGAGTCAGAACCGACTTGATGGCGCTTAACAATGGCAACGATTATGTGCAAAGCTTTCTTCAAGGAGTTGTATGTGATTAAAACATAAACAGGAACTGTCAGATTTGCAATCCGCCTAGAAGTAGAGATAAACACAATGCTAGTTAGAATCTAAGTATCCATGTTGGTGTTAGTTGCTATGGTGGTGATTCTGACTCATTACAATACCTTGTATGTAAAGAAGAGTTCTACTATCAGGATGTTCGAGGTTATGACCTTTCAGAAGGCGTTCACCAGTCTTGTTTTCTGAGGTGCCTCTGGCTGTGTTTGAACCACCAAACTTTCAGGTCGCAGTTTGTGCCACCCAAGGATTCTGTAAGTGCCCTAAATCCATAGCCTCCAAGTCAATTCCAACTCGATGGTACCTAACAGTAATAAGAACACCTGGGAGTGGAGTTGTTTGCTCTCAGGGTGTACACACCTTTAGTGTTACTAGTGGTGGTGGTGGTTGTGTGTTCTGACTCACTGTGACTCCGTTTAGGGTTTCCAAAGTTGTAAATCTCCTGCAGAGCAATTGGTAGATTCGAACTGCTGACTTAGTGGTTACTTGCCCAGCTCGTAATCCACTACACTAATAGGGCTTTACTTCTTGTTGGTTGTTGTTAAATGCCTTTAAGTTGGTTCTGACTCATAACGACCCTGTATAGGCTTTCTGAGAAGCTACTGGTAAGTTTAAACAGAAGACTTGCAGTTCAAAATGACCTTACAGTCCAGTGCTTATCCTATAGTGCCAAACAGGACTTCATAGGGCTTTACTGTTGTTGTTGTTAAGTGCCGTCGAGTCGGTTCCGACCCATAGCGTCCCTGTACAGGGTTTCCGAGGGTGTAAATCCTTACGGGAGTAGAAAGCCTCATTTTTCTCCTGCGGAACGGCTGGTAGTTTCGAACCGCTGACCTTAAGGTTCGCAGCCCGATTCGTAACCACTAGGCTACCAGAGCTCCTTATAGGGCTTTACTAGATAATACAAACTTATCTTCTGAAATGGTTGTACTAGTTATTTCAGGAAAATGTAAACAATGTGGTGCTTTTTATCTTAACAAACTTGATAGTGTCAAACTTCTTCATTGTGTTTCTTAGCTTGAGAACTTGGTTAACACACTTGGCTGCTACCTGAAAGGTACATATGATATGGTATGTTTTTAATAGAAACTTCTTAGGTAGTTAATTTTATTTTATGAAAGGTTTAGGCTTTTTGTGTGTAGTTGAGGACTAAACAGATTGTCACCAAATCGATAATGACTGATAGTGACCCTAAAGGAGTTGAACGGCTCCACAGAGCTCCTAAGGGAGCAAGCTTTATGGAAGCAAACTGCCACATCTTCCTCCTGTGGAGCAGTTGGTGGGTTTGAACTGTCTACATTCCAGTTATCACTGAGTCTTCAAGTCTTCATTAAGTGCCCTGTTGCTGTCATTGTTAAGGGCTGTCAAGTCAGTTCGGACTCATAATGACCCTGTATAGGGTTTCCAAGGAGTGGCTGGTGACTTTAAACCACTAACCTGTGATTAGCAGTCCATTGCTTATCCTACAGCACCACACTAACTGCCCTAAGAAGCCAAAAATGACAGCTTGTGGAAGTGCTAGCAGAAGAGATCTATGTAAGAGGTCAAACAGAAAAATAACATCTGGCTAAATTTTGAGACCTAAATCCACCTCACCAAGCAGCTTTGTTAGTCAAAGGCATGCCAGATGAAAAAATAGGCTTAAGCAAATGCACAGGCAGAGAAACAAAATATTGTGCATTTTCCAGCTGCATACCAAGCAAGTGATGGAAAAACATTCAGCAAAGATGGGATCTGTCCAGATTTTGGA